ACTTGATATAGGCGCTGTTGCCAATATGTGAATTAGAAACAAATCCCTTTAAAAATTAAAACCCAACATTTGAAACATCAATTTCAATACTTTTCGAAGTGAATTTGAAAAACTCATGAATTAAACTCAACTTTATTTTGTTCAAATTTGCTGTAATAACCCAAATTGAGGAACATTCCCCATTATGGTTACCTGTAGTATATAAATACTACAGTACAGTGCTACTACATAAATAAGTACAGAATAAAAGGTTTTTACAACTTTCTGGCAATAATAACAATATCTACTGAAGTCTGTTCCCAAATTCATTTCTTACTATGAAATGTTTGTGGGGTAATTTCGTTGAAAAAACCTCTTATTCTGTACTTGAATTATAGAATAGACTGCGGTTGTGAATAGTACACTCTACATTACTGGTATCTCCTGAAAAAATCTAAGGGCGTCATATCAGATGATCTAGCGGGCCATTTGAATAGAAGACGACGGACCTATCTATCGATTTCAACAAGATGAGGCACCTACCCACCTCGGGTAATCAGACAGATATTTCAGACACGTCTATCTATACATTATTGTATAATTTTCATTCAATAAAAACTTCATACTCGTTTTTCAGCGCGAGTAAGGACTCCTGGCACGAGGCCTGTAGCGGTGCTCCTCCCTAAGGACGGCTCTGTCTACAATAACTCCTTTCGTCATTTTCCAGAAATTCAAGAAACCTTTCTTAATCAAGATTTTGTAAAACAAAATACTCCGTTATTTTATTATTCAGTACCACAACGAATATTTACGTTATGGGAATAAGGTCTCTTGCAATGTATACTCAAATTTGAATTCTCACAAGCCTGATGTCGTCTATTTTGCGATGAAATCGTACAGTTCGTGTGAATATAGCCTCATCATTGACGAAAATTACCGTAATTTATACTTTTATCTCATAGTCAACAGCAGTACCCTAGTCTCTCCACCTCTTCACCAGATTCAAGAGTATGTAAAAAGTCTGACTTCAATGGTTTCATTTGTGTTTTTGGAACAACGCTTCATTTTTTTCTTGCAAAACCAATTCGTTCAACTCATTTCTTTTACTACATACTTTATCATGGATTGTTGTCTTGTGTTATCAGTATTCCTATTTGGCCCACCTTTTTTATAATTCACAGAACCAATTTCTCTGTGAAGCTCATTTACTACAGATGTGTATGTGAAATAGCGCTACCATCAGTATTTTTCCTGTTGAATTTCTAGCAAATTTTCGATTACTTCCTACATTATCATCTTATAATAATATTCGAATGATGCATCTGAGACAACTAGCATCAAATGGAAATTTGGGTCTACTCTCTGACGATAATTATAATTTCGAAAGATTTATAATATAAATCTTCTACCAATACTGAAAAAATCATACCTCTTGAAAGGGAAACTTTTTATGACTATTCAAATTGAATAAAATATTAAAAAAATAATGCATTTTATAATAGCAATATATCGATACAAACATATGTGATTGCTGAAAACTATAATTTGATCACATGTTTCGCTAGCACAGTAGCTTTCTCAAGTGTATAACACTTTACC